CAGAAAACATAAGCTAACTAATAAATCTCAAATTATTATAAAGATAACCATTACCAACTCCAGTGAAAAAGTACAAACTCCTTCACAAATTCATGTTCAAGCTCCTGTGTTTGTCTGCAATACTTAATGGGTTGTTGTGAATTTGTCATGGGCATTTACTCCTGCAAATGCCCATTACTATGCCCATTACTCTGTTTTTGCAATAAGAATAGTAGTAAACGAGGCCTACATGAGAACAGGAAGAGGTGTAAAGTTAAATATGCAAAGTTCTACTTAGCAGCATGTCAGCGTGTTTCGAAACTACCGTTGTTTTTTTTGTTTTTTCATACAACAGGTTCACACATTAAATAAGTATGGCTGCATTTGGCAATACAAACTATTTAGAAATGTGATCAGGCATAAATACTAAAGATTTCATGACTACAGCTTCATAAGTCTGAGGATTTGCTGCTTTTCTTTGTATTATTGGATCATAAATTGTTTTTGGTATATTTCAAAAACATTTGCAAATGTAAATATGGCCTTTAGAGATATTATCCACATTTGAGCTATGAGCATTTTAAATTTTCTGACATTTTATAGACCAAACAATCAGTACAAAGAGAAAATAAATGGGTTGCTAATCAATAATGTAAATGATCATCAGTTGCACCCATCATGAATCAGACTAAAAGCTTTCTGTTCTCTCAGCTACAACTAATGATTTTTTAGGCTTCCTGATAAGATAGCCTTCCACTCTATTAAATTGTAATTGGCTTTTTATCCCATTTTGTATAAATGTTCAGTAGCTGTTGACTTCATGTTTATTTTAGTAAATCAAAAGCAGATTGTATTAACAGACCTCCTCTTCTCCTTATGTCTTACAGATGAAAGATAACCCCACCCTGAGCTACTTCTTTCAACAGATGACATACTCTTCCTTCCAAAAGCTTGCTGATGCATATGTTGAGAAAGAAGGTTCATCGACCCAAAAACCTCCAACTGTCTTACCAACAGCACCAGAGCTGGTCAAACTGGCCTTCACACTCGACTTCACGGCCAGGATAGCCGGACTCTCCAAACAGAATGTAGGCCACATTACTGGTCTGGGAAACCGTTATCTACAGGACCGATTTGAATACAGACAGGTAAGGATCAGATGAAATGGAGAGA